TGGATTCAAACCCACCTTGGGTGTACATGGCTGGCGCCTTAGCCACTTGAGCCACAGGCGCCGAGCCATGGTTCCTTTCTGAGGACCCGCCTGACTATCAGGGAACAGGGATGTGTCTTGGGTGTATATGTGAAGAAATGGATGATATGTACAAAATTACAATAGTGACAAGTGCAGCTGCAGAGCTAAGTTTAAAATGAAATGAACTCACTGAGTGGTGACCACCTGAGTGGGGTGCTAACGGGGGTGTCCTGGAGATTACCTTTGCTACTTGTTAGAACAGGAAGGAGCTTTCTGGGAGAACAAAGGCTATAGAGGGGTGACTAGAAAAGAGAAGGAGGGTATTCAAGGCAGAGAAGCTCGTCCATGCCAGGACAAAAAGCCTATGGAGAGCAGCCAGGTCCCTTGTGGGGAGCAGCAGATAAGGACAAACAAATAGGCTGATGTCAGACCTGGAAGGGCCTTGGATGCCAAGCTAAGGAGTAAGATCCTGTCAGGTGGACCCACATGGGAGGCTACAGGATCAGATCTGCTCAGGAGGTGGCAGCCTTGGAGCAGTCAACGGCAGGAGATTGCGTGTGGAGTGGAGGAGAGGCAGCTATGAGGGAATGGCCAGACCAGAAGCTCACGGGGGACAGGGCAGGCCTACTTGGGGCCCACCCATATAGAGATAAGCAGGTCCTGTAACTCACAATCTCCTGGAGATAAACACCAGGGCAGTGGTCAGAGGGCCCAGATAAGCTCTCAGCATTTGGAACCTACCCCTCGGTCGGTCATTAGGGTACCAGCAGGCTGAGTGGGGTTTACTCTGGATGTCCTGAACCTGTGGGCTGGCAGTCGTGGGACAGCAACAGCACGAGTTTGAGTTGGGCTCTGCCACTCAGGATCAAGTTTCTTATCATCTCCTCTGTCAGTGTCCTGCTAGATGGGGATGGCACTGGCACCTTTCTTGCAGGGTTGGGGTGAGGGTGAAGAGTCAACCATGGAAAGGGATTAGGACAGCGGGGAACACAGCAGGCCCTGTGTAAATGGAAGCTCTAGTAAGGAGCGAGCCCTTGGCCAGCTCAGCCATGTGAAATTAAAGCTGCTCTGGTTGAAGGAGAATGGGGTGGGGTCGTGCTCCTTTGCCCTGCCCAATCCTTACTTAGCATAGGCTTTGATGCATTTTTTTTTTCTGTCAGTTTGAAAATCACTGGACTCTGCATTCCTGGGGTTAATTTCTTTTATTTCCTGAACCCAAGGAGTTCAAGCAGGTTAGCTGCTGGTGCCCGGCCTGGAGCTCAGTGTCTGGGTGGAGTCCTATTTCTCTCAGAGCAGAGGGGACCTGGTGAGACTTTGTCCCCTGAAGGCATCAGAAGGTTAATCAGCTGGGGCCTTGTTCCCCAGCATCAGGAGTTCAGTGTCCTGCAGAGGGACAACTGTGTGAACTGTCCCCAGACACACACAGACATCCCTGTTGGACCAGGAGGAAGAGCCGAGGGAGGATTCCCAGATGGGAAAAACAGCTCCCTGAAGGAATAGGAAACTATCATCCTTTTCTGTTATTTGAGGTATCTTGGAAGGAAATTCTCCTTCATGGTTCTGTTATAAACGAGCTAATCCAAGTTAAGCACCCGACGCGTTAAGCATGCGGTGGACCTCCTCTTAGAGCTGTTATTTTCACTGCATAATCCCAGTTCTTCTCGGACCTATTAAGGTAAGTATGGTGTTCAGTGTGGTGAGTGGGTGTTCAGAGCCCAATAAATATATAGAGCTGTAGTTCCAAAAATTCTCTCCAACAAAAGTTCTCTTGTATTCTTCACATTATGAATAGACAAAAGATATTTCACACAATATGACACTCTATATAAGTCAGGCAAAAATTAATCCTTTCTGGTTTGGCTCAAGGTCACTTTGCTGTCATTTTAAAGCCTGTGATGTCTTAGCTAAGCCAGATACTGCAGGAATTCTAGCAGCGTTCACAGATTTGGTGTGCATCCCTCACTGTGCAGATGATCTTTTCAGAGAACCCTAATAAGTGAGATTTCACCATGGCATTGCTGACCCTAAGTTAACGCCACAGCGGCAGTTCCACAGGCAGCCTTTAAGCTTCCATTAACAAAGGTTAGCTGTTACGTCAGGCAGACCAGGACACTCTGGTCCTGTTTTATTAAGTTATAAATACATTTAATTTAATGGCTTTAGTACTGGGTTCTTTTTTTTTTTTTTTTTTTTGAGACAGAGCCTCAAGCTGTCCCCCTGGGTAGAGTGCCGTGGCATTACAGCTCACAGCAACCTCCAACTCCTGGGCTCAAGTGAGTCTCCTGCCTCAGCCTCCCTAGTAGCTGGGACCACAGGCACCCGCCACAACGCCCGGCTATTTTTTGGTTGCAGCCGTCATTGTTTGGTGGGTCCGGGCTGGGGATTCAAACCTGCCACCTTAGGTGTACGTGGCTGGCGCCTTAGCCGGTTGAGCTATAGGCGCTGAGCCTAGTACTGGGTTCTTATTATGGAATTTGAGAAGAAAATAGAACTCAAGATCACTAATGTCTAAGTAAAAAGCCACTATTGTTTATGTATATTTACCTACACTATTATTTATGAATTATGTCTTTTTACAAAGTGCACACACTGCCTCAAAGGGCAACTATAACTCACCTGGAATTACATCAAGCTACTTGCAAGGCTCAACTAGCTTACCTGGAAGAAATTAAAAGTGGTACAAGATTTTAAAATTACATTGGTTTTGAGTCAAACTAGCCAAACCAGTTCAGAAAAAGCCCATGAAACTGCTCCCCACATCCCCTTTTCTGGTTTCCCATTAAGGAGAAAAATGCCATTTGTGCCTCTTTTCATCCACTGAACTTTAACCACAGGGGGTTTCCTCTAAAAGAACCTCAGAGCTGGAAGGAAGGGCACAGAGCCCTTGCCTTTTCACATACCTGCACCAAGAAAGAATATGTTTAAAATCATTCCCTGAATAATGACTGTTATAGCAAGAGCTCAAGCTTACCTCATTTCCAATTGCTGACCAGCTAACGGGTCCACTGACTGGGCAAATTCTAGAACTAGGTACCCTCTAGATGCCCAGGGACAGGCAATGTCTCAAGGAATGCTTGGGTGGTTTGGTGGGAAGCAGCAGTCCCTGAACTAGGAGTAAATCTAAAGAGCTGCACAGGTGTGAGATGGGCCGTATGGGCAACACCCTCACATCCTACCCCTTCAGTTCCCCAACACAAGGGAACCACTTCACCTCCTCCCTTCCCCTTACAAGGACCACAGTGCTGTTCATCGTCTATGGGGAGACCTCTTTCCAGGTGGGCACTGCCGGACTGCTGGTAACCACAGCCTTGCCTGGGTCCCCAGGATGGGTGACAGTGAGGTCAGAGAGGTCATCATGCTGCCGGGACTGGGGTACATGCCTTTGGTCAGGATGGATGGGGCCCACTTCAAATAAAGGCTTAGAAATGGTTCTTCTGGGTGACTTATTCCCCATATAGAGAAAGGCTATGCCAGCCGAGGCAATCTGCAGTTGGCTTCAAAATCAGCAACGAGGAGGGGGAAAACCTCACAACAAACAGTGGTAACAGAAGGTTTGTGTGGGAAGGTGGTTAAGTTTGGTCTAAAACAAGCAGTGTCTCTGGTAATGAGCTGTTGTTAGGAAATACGCGGCGCCCGCGGGGCCTGCAGCCTTTGGAAGAGCTCTGCGCTGCTTCTTCTCCAGGGCTGAGTGGTTTTTTAGGGGGTGGTGGTGGGGGAAGACAGGGAAAGGGCAAAGTGAGGCAAAGCAAAGATCCAGCTAAAGCCACCACCTTGTGCACCAGCCATAAAATCTTGTACTTAAATCCCAGGTCCGCTCTAGTTGCAGTGTGACTTTTGGTACCATACCTACCCCTTCTCTGAATCACAGCTGGCTCACCTGTGAAATGAGGACACCTAAGGTACCAGCCAAGGTCCCAGGAGGAGACAGATGTCACACTCAGAGTGGGTGGCTGAGGAGGGATTCATAAAGGGACTATTTACAATGGGTGTGGCAGGGTTAAGGGATGCCAGTGAGGACAGTGAAGTACACAAGGGCTGGTAGAAGCTGACAGTCAGGACCAATCTTTGGCTTCAAAGGAAAGGGGGAGGATGTGGTTACCAAACTCCAGAAGTCACTTGACAGGAACTGTGGGTCTTGGCAGAGGAGACTAGCCAGTGCCAAGCCACACCAGGCAGGAGGGAGCCGGGAGTGAATGCCCTGACTTCTGCCTTCTCTCACTTGCCAAGCTCCTCCCAGGGTGTCTCTCCTGGATCCAGACCAGAAGCCAGGAGGGCAGGTCAACAGAAGCCAGGCTCCTGGAGGGAAGTGCAGGGTGGGGAAGGGGCTGGAGGAGCACACAGGGAATATTCAGCACACCCGAATACCTAAAAAATGAGGTAATAATCATCAAGGCCTGTACCACAAATACTCACTGCCCACCTGATTAGAACATTTGGCATTGACTTATTAAAAGGCCACAGTATAACTTTATTCTCAGGTGGCAAAAGCCAAAATGAAAATAAGAAACAGTCTCTACTCAGAATGAAAAACAAAATCTTTTACAAAGTTGACAGATAACATTTATTAAAACATGTCATACAAAAGGGCATGGTCTCTTCTATAAGAAGAAAATATTAAACAGTAACATTCAATTAAGTAAAACCATGCTGTACACTGAAGACAGCAATATATAAAGACAAAACTATCCAACTTTTGCAACACAGGCATAACATTTCACAAAATATCAATAAGATATGCACCTAATGATAATCTGTTTATCATCAAATGGTTTTGTGGCCTAAGAGTCACCTGACTTGCATAAATAAAGTACTTCTCTGGAAGAAACATGGGGGACCTCATAAAAGGAAAGAGGGCAGCAGCAACTAACATGACATAGGCTTCAAGCAAAAAAATTTCTTTAAAAAAGGTCACATTTGCAAAATGTATTCCAGCATTTTCCCATAGGGCACTATCAGTAGAGATATGAAATAAGAAACTTGTACCTTCAAATATGTAAGTAGCAAAGAAAAAAAAAACCCAAACAAACCCTGGTTTCACTGAACAAAGTTAGCCACTGATGAAAGCAACTTAAATTACAAAATCAGTGGGGGCGGGGAGTAGTATCTCACTGGCTTTCCAGCCTTCCTAAATGACCAGGGGCCTTACATAAGCACACTCCTGGGCTTGCTGTGATGGCTTCTCCCACCCTCCTGCAGCACAGTCCCTTCCCCAGGGAAAGTACAGCTTTGCATCCACTTGGCCTCAGCCTCACCACACCAGCTGGGGGAGGGGGGTGCTGCAGCGGGCCCTGGGGCCATGCAGCCTTCCCATACAACTAGAGGCCAGCCTATGGTCAGTCCAGTTCAGAAAACACCCACAACAACTGAGGGGATCCTTTTGTACAGACTCTTTTAATAGTAGTGGCCAAAAGGGACCAGAGGAAGGGGAGACCTAGAAACAGAGAATCAATAGGCTGAGGCCCAGGAGTGCCTGGGGGCAGCCACGACACTGGAGGGGAGTCCCTCCTTAGGCAGACACTGGCGCCTGTGTCTCCAAGTGGATTATCTAAAATGAAAGGTGTGGTGTGAGTATGAACTTTAAATACCATAGGTGGTGCCTTGAAGCCCTTTCCCACTAGGATTGGTGAAAAACCACAGTTAAGACAAACTAAGGGACAAATACCTTGGTTGTAGGCCATTGACACGATCCCTGAAAGACTGTTTAGAAAATGTTACCCACACTATCCAAACTCAATAGCAAGGATAAAGATGTATTGAGGCTGAGGGGGAGACTATCACTCCAACCCAGTGTGGAGAGGAAAAAAAGGTAAAAAACAGAGCTTATAAAAATTCACTTTCAATATCCAAACTAAAGCAATCCCTCCTCCTGCCTCTCTCCAAACATGGCCAGCGTTCTCTAACCAATGAACAACCTGATTTTTGCCAAAATCCTAACTGTCACAAAAAACTTACAACAGCAGCTGTGAGAAACTTATTTTTTAAGTTCTACGTTTAGTAGCTGATGTACATAGAAGGGTTTCAACAAAACATATTCTTTTCTTCACAACACATTAAATAGGTCCCAGCACAACTGCTTCCAAAACTTCCACCCAAGGGCTGGCCACTTGGTTTGAAAAAAAGTTCTTCATCATGACTCATGACAAGGGCCCCGTGCTGATTTCCGCACAGCTGAAGGACCAGGATTTTCCCAGGATGGCTTTATTTTTACCTTTTAGACTCTTCTCTCCAAATGGCCCAAGGCTCATATGAATATCATCATTAATGGGAAACCCACATCAAACCTTCCCAACAAGTAGAAAACGTTTTGCTAATACCACAAAAGAGGGCGATCAGCTTTTGGCAGAACAAAATGGCTTCACTGCCTTAGGACTGAAACCAGTAGGAGCCATAAAACAATTTCTCCTCACATGTAATGGGTAAGATCATTCCTAAAACCCATTGGCCTCTTACATGAGAAAAAGAGAAAGAGCAAGTGAGCTTGATTGTATAGTCACCTCTCTGTACTTCTGTCAGGTACAAAGGACTGTCAACTGGTGACATCTCAACACTAAGAAGATGGTATTGATGTGGCAAACAACCAAGAGGTAATATCTAGATTCTAGGTTAAAAAAACAATATATATATATTTATAATAAAGTTTTAAATACAAAGTGCTTTTTATATATCGAGAATGATACAGTGTTACTGAATAAATCCCTGTTTTGTAATCTTGATAACAAGAGTTAACTGGTAAATAAGTATTTCCTTTCCTTTTTCCAGACAATGTTCAGTAAGTAAACACTTGGTGTTAGGAGCTCGAGAATCAGAGGCTGTTGCCAGCAATGTCTATCACATTAGAGCAAAGCCAAACTTTTAAAACAAAATTTCACCCCAAATCCAAGAAAAATTATTTTTATTTCAAGGAGAAAAAGTTTCTACTTAGAATAGACCAGTAAATTTACGGAAAAGACAGCATAATAGTAGCACCCTGTCCTACCCTGGTGATAACCTCAGATGTATTACACAGCTTAAGAGCATTCTGAATGTATGCTTTTTTTATTTCCTAAAAAATCTGACAGATAGCAGATGTCTCAGGATAGCTGCTTTTCTTTTTTTTGGGGGGTGGGGGGCAGTAGGTACTTGTAAATTTAAGCAGCTTTATCTGGAAGTTGGGAGCATGAATCTGTAGATTACTTTGTATAAAGCAGGACTCCTTCTTTCCCCTTTTTAAAACATTCCAGCACTCATGAAGAACTGGCAGGATCAGTTTGGTGAACCTCTCTAAAGAGTATCTCCCGCGGCGTCTCAAATGCTTTTCTTCGGCGGTTTTTTCACCCTCAAGTATAACCTGTCACTCCTAAAATTCTGCTAATCTATAATTCTCACTCTTGACGGTCGGAGTGTCATGGTAGCATTCTATTAACTCCTAAAGTTCATAGGTAATTCTCAGCCATGACTTTTGGCTCCTTCCCACTGACTGAGGTCACTGGCTGCCCTCTTTGGGAAGCACCAAGATCTAAGACAGAGCAACAGCGGCCAGTACCGTGGTCAGAGTCCCAGAAGTCTACCAGCCACAAAGTAGACCCCACTGTATGGATGCTACAATTAAACAAGATTTGAGATAGCAAACCAATTAGAAATACCTATCTCTGGCATCCTAGAGAATTACAATTAGGTACAACTGTTCAAATTCAAAGTTAGTACTAAAATATAAAACTATGCCTTATCAAGAGTTTTGAAATACCATGTGACAATAGTGGCATCTTACAGAAATTGAAGCTTGTACCATAAGCTATTTGTTTCATACTTAGAATGTCACCCTCTTAGCATCTCCATAGTTTTACTTAAAATATCCTTTAGAAAGAATAAAACTAGACAAGAGCTCTGTTAATCAATTGCTCATCCTAGGAATCACATTACTTATAGCTTTTACATAAGTAGCATTCCATTCAGTGAAGCAGCTACCAGAACAAATCCACATTACCTAAGTATCTATAGCAAGAGCAAAAAAAATTTCAGCATGACCTTGTAATAATGAGTGATTAATAACTGCTGCCACCTGAAATGGAACCGGTAGGGTGGAGTCAATTCCAAGTGCAGGTGTCTAAGTCTACCTGCCTTGATCATGATTGGCCTGAAGATTTACCTTGCTAGCTGGGCAGTAGGTTAATTTGCCCCCATTACCCATTCTAGGCCAGGACTGGAACATAGAAATTTGAAGAATTAGATTTTTTAATTGGCCTACTTAGAGCTGGTCTTTCAGAAATATCTTCCTTTTTTTTAAGCTTCGCTCATAATAGCAAGTAGCTCGCATCATCTGTGCCCAGATTTGCATTAATTACCATAGTTTATTTTTGTGCATGCCACTCAAGGGCCAGATCCTATTTTTAGTTAGCCTCAGTTGTATTCTGCTCAGCCTTTGCAGCTTCGTAGGACTTGGTACAAGAAGTCACATGCCGGTGGAAACTGTCCCTCCACATAAACCTCTTTGCACAGATATTGCACTCATACGGCTTTATGCCAGTGTGAATTTTCATGTGACCCACGAGATGGTGCTTCATTTTGAATTTCTTACCACAGACGCCACAGCCATAAGGCCGAAGACCGAGGTGCATGCTCATGTGCCGATCTCTCTGACTCTTGTGAGTGAAACTTTTCCCACACTGACAAGGATAAAGCTTATCAGTGGCTGAGAATCCTAAGTGGGAAGCTTCTTCTTTAATTCCTGTGACCATTTCAATATTCTCGCTGTAGCCTGCTGCAAGGGTAGCCTCCTGTCTGTGCCCAATTAGATTCCCATCTGACCTCTCTCCAGAAAACTCCTCCATGGAGGAGCCATAGAAATCTACCTGCTCATCATAATTGCTTTCATCAGCCTGTTCATCAAACTCTGCCTCCACTTTTTTTTCCCCGATGTGAAAGTCCTCTTCCACTCCTGAAGGCTGGACCGAGTGTTCTGTCTGCAGGGTGTTGATGGACTCAGTAACCTGGTGCTCATCATAGGCTGCATGCACATCCATGCCCTCACAAGCCTGTTCTAAGCGCTCAGGCTTCACATGGATCCAGCGTTTGTGTGCCATTATGCTGGGCTTGCTGTACATGGGCCGGGTATAGTGGAACTCGGCACTGTCACTAGCCCCCTCTTCCCCATCTTGGCTTGCCATTTCGGTGCTCAGCCGGTCATGCTCTGTGGATGAGTTGCTGGGCAAGTATTCGTGCTCCGTGAGCTGAGATGATAGCTCATCTTTGGTACTCTCCTCTTCGTTCTCTCCATCCCTCAGTTCTTGGGCCTTGGGGAAATCAGTATGACCCCCAGAGCCCAGCTCAAAGCTCTCCACCAGGCCATTATAATTACTGCTACTTGGAGACTGGTGGTCACTGCCATGATTTAGCTTCTGACAAAGGACTGTGGGATTTCCCTCTAACACCTCAGTGCATTTGTCTACCACATGCCACATTTGGAGAAAGCTTGCAGCTGTCAAGTAACTAACAATTTCTGGAGCAGGCATTACTAGACGTCCTGTATAACTGGAAAGGAGGATGTTCTCAAACACTCTTGGGTTCATCACATCAGGCAAAACAATTCTCCTGCTGTTTTTCAAGAGTACCTGGTCACAAAAGTAGGGTGAACTTGCAGCAAGGACAGCTTTGTGTGCCCGGAAAATGTGGCCTTGGACAACAATGGAGACATCACATAATTGTCCTTGCTGGCGCTGCTGGTTCAGTTTCTGTAGAATGGTACTGGAAAAATCAGGAAATTCTACTCGAAAAGAGTTTGTTCCAGGCTCCATTTCATCACAAATCTTGTTTGGTGCTATACGAGAAACAAAAATCAGTATTAATTTCAACCCAAAGAGAAACATATTCCATCCCCTTCTCCATCACTAAGAAAATTAGGGTAGGTTCCAAAGTTTTATTAAGTCCCTGGTCTATGGGCACTTGTGGATGAAGGATCAGTCCCTAGAGCAAGGCTTGCAGGTGTGAGTGTGTCAACAACATGAGTCACACCACTCTTCATGAACTCTTCATTTTGTCTCTATGGAGAGAACAGATTCCACAGTGACTAGATTTGTAAGCTATACAAATCCCCTTAAGAAAAAAAAGTACTATAAATATTTCTAGTTAAAACAAACATGATACCTATTAAAATAATAGTGTTTTTTTCTTTTTATGAGCTGGGGTCTCCTTATGTTGTCCAAGCTAGAGTGCAGTGCCTATTAACAGGTGTGATCATAGCACACACCTGAGCTCCAGAGATTCTCCTGCCTCAGCCTCCTGACTAGCTGGGACAACAGGCATGTGCCACCACACCTGACTCAAAGTGACAGAATTTTTAAGCCTCAGATTCAACTTATATTTGATAAGTTGTGGTGATGGAGAGAAAACAGAATTGTGGGAAGAAGGAAAAGCAAATGCAAAGGTGGGAATGAAACTGGCAATTACAGGGACCTGAAAGACCACTGGGCCAGAGTTTAATGAGGGAGTGAGGGGCAAGGGGGCTGTGTGGGGGCATGACAATTCTGCCTGTGGGCTTTCAGCTGCTGAACCCCAAGCAATGCAGGTTTATCTACTGCTGTCACAATTTTAGCCCTTAAGAGCTTCTAATGACATAAAGCAGCATGAAACTGCAAGGTGAAGTATCCTTTCTACCCGGTGATCTCCAAATTGTCTAAAGAGTTATAGACCAAAGAGGATGCTAAGTAGTTAGTGTCCTGGTACTAAGTAGGCTCATTCAGAAGACAGAGTTACAACAAAGAATATGAGATTAGCTATGCTGTTCCTGTAAATATATTCTATACGGGTAAGGCAAGCATTCAAGGCAATTCCTAACAAAAGCACTCAAGACCAGCCCTGCTAAAAATCCTGTCATGCTCCACAATTCCACGGCAAGTTAAAGCAGACAAAAACACAAAAACGATATATCAATACTATTGGTCTCTTTGCTCTAATGCTATTAAATATCTTATTTAATACCAAGATTTCTAAGTATGACATAAAAAAACAGACAACCCAAACACACTGAAAGTCACCTTTGAGGAACAAGGAGAGAAGACTAGAAGAAACTAGTGTTTGTTGAGTAATCATTATATGCAGTGATCATACACCTTTTTTCACTTAATCTTTATAATTACTCCTCAAATTTAGGGCTTGATATTCTTAGTTCAGCTATTTTAAGTAACTTTCCCAAGGTTAAAAGCTAGTTGTTATTGAGATGTGAACCCAGGTCTGTATGACTCCAAGTCTATGCTATTTTTT